CCACCAAGGAGATTAGCAGAGAACCTTCTAAGAAAGAGAATCTAAATAAATGTTTGCTGACTGGCAAATGATGATGCAGCAAAATAGACAATTGCTTAGTAATTCACCCTAAGCTTGACAGTTAATGGCAAGAAGATAGTAAGTGCGTGCCTCTTAAACATGAAATTCCTTATCAGTCTTCTGGGAACTTGGTTAACGGTGTAGATGTCGGGCCTAATCATCAGAGATTTTAGATCAGTAAGTGTGAGGTGAGGCCCAGCAATCTGCATTTTAACAACTTCCCGGTGATTCTGAGGCAGGTAGTTGGGGAGCACACTTGACAAAACACTGTTTTAGCATCTACTGTATCAGTGATGTCTACAAATTCCTCCTGACTGACTCCAGGAGCAGAGAGTAGGGGTTCCAAGCATGGACTCTGGAGTCAGTCTGGGTTCCAACTCTGTGAAAACGATGATGATCTTGTGGATTACTTGAGTGTCTATGCCTCGGGGCCTTCAGGTGTTAAAGGAGACGATGTGTACGAACAAGCTATGCTGGCCCTAACTTTGTGTAAGGCCCTGGGATCTGGGCTAGAATAGAAGGGTTAGAGTATGCCACCAGCTCTGCCTCATTTTCTAACACTTTTCCCAACTGCTTTCAGGTGATATCTTTCATCAACTGGCACACATTTTCCCTAAATTATTATTAAGGAGATTGAGGAAAGAAAAGCAGTATGACCTCACTGTTTGCACACATAGCCTCAGAAATGGGATTATGTCTCAGTCTGTTGAAATATTCCCTTTTGTGTTGTCTATGGAGCCTGTCTAATATTGGGACAAAGGACCAGAGAAATTAGTATTTACCGGTTACCAGGTGTTGTGCAATTGACTCTGACTCATGGTGACCTCTTGTGTGTCAGAGTAGAACTGTGCTCCATAGGGTTTCCAATGGCTGATTTTTTGTAAGTATATTGCCAAGCCTTTCTTCTGAGGCACCTCTGGGCGAACTTGAAGCTTCAACCTTTTGGTTAGCAGCCAGTGCCTTAACCGTTTGCAATATTTACAACCATGTGTAAAAATAACGAGAAAGAGAAGACAGCACAGAAAGAGACCAAAAAAAAAAAAAAAAAACCAACGCAAACAATGAAGGAATAGAAAAGATTGTTCAAGACAATCCTGGTGTTTTTGGTGCACACTTGCATGAGTGAGAGAAAAACAAGAGTTGAAATGGTTTCAGCTGGCTTTTCATTCGTTCTTTTAAGGAATCTGTGGGTTGTGTTATCTTGCCTCTTCCGATTTTTACTTGTTTTTGGCTTTCTGGACGTTAAGGGACAGAAAACAGGTTACTTTTTACTTTCTTCACTAGCTGCATAGAAGAAAGGGAAGATACCGGTTGGCCAGCAGCTCTGCCCATCTATGCACTCACTTCCGGGTCCGGGCTCCCTCACTATCAGGGTCTGGCGGCAGGAAATGATTGCCTAATCAGCAAGTGCTATTACTGTGTCCCTCAGGAGAGCAAACAAGGGCTTAGAGATTCAGATGCCCGGTTCACCTCCGATACTTATTGGAATCTTATCCAAACCTCCGGGATTTTAGTCAGCAAAATTTAACTGGAATCTGGATAAGACTGACTAATGAGATTTGTACTACTTCCTGCTTTTCCTTAAGTCTAAAATATCAGCATTGGGAGAAAAAAACCATTTGACAAGGAATTAAAAAAAAAAGAGAAAGAAAATTTTGTGTTTTTTGGAGGGAAGGTATTCAGAAATTGGATATTTTTTTTGGATACATTGAGGAAGAATATAAAAAATAATATTATGGTCCAGGGAGTGTTAACCACTCCATTTTGGGCAATAGACCACTAAATGAAGAAGAAAAAAAATCCCCACAAACAGTCATACTTTTAAAATAAGATTTCTTTTATGTAAGGGTTTGAGGAGTAAGTATCAATTTTAAAAAAATATATAACCAGTTTTGAATCTGATATCTAATTAACTGCCATTTCTTGAACAGCTGCTGTGTGCCAGACACTGGACTTTATTTTGAAATCTCACAACCTTGCGCATAAATATTATCATCCCCATTTTATAGATGAGATAACAGAGGGGAGAAATTAGGAAACTTCCCTAAAGCCTCATGTTCAGAAAATAGCTGGATTGGAATTCAGTGCTGTCTTTCCATGTCAGAGTGCCTAGGCGGTGCAGAAGGTTGAGTGCTTGACTACTAGCTGAAAGGTTGGTGGTTCAAACCCACCCAGAGGCAGTGGGAAGACAGGCCTGGTGATCTGCTTCCAAAAGATCACATCCTTGAAAACCCTATGGAGCAGTTCTACTCTGTACACATAAGGTTGCCATGAGTCGGTATCAACTGAACAGAACTAACAGCAACAAGAAGAACTATCTATCCATGTCACCATGCTGGGTCTCACTCAAAATAAACAGTGATTTGTAGTCCCCAGAGCACTCACTACCAGTAAGCCAGTTGCCATGGAGTCATTCTGACTCATGGTGACCCCATGGGTATCAGAGTAGAATTGTACTCCATAGTTTTGGAAGTGGACTGCCAGGCCTTTCTTCCGAGTTGCCTTTGGGTGGGTTACTAGCTTTAACCTTTCAGTTAGTAGCTGAGCATGTTAACCATTTGCACCCTCCAGGGGCTCGCAGAGCACTAACTAAACCAAAAAACCAAACCCATTGCCATCGAGTCAATTCCAACTCATAGCGACCCTTTAGGACAGAGTAGAACTGCCTCATAGGGTTTCCAAGGAGTGCCTGGTGGATTCAAACTGCTGACCTTTTGGTTAGCAGCCAAACTCTTAATCACTACACAACCAGAGTTTCCAGAGCACTCACTAGAACCCTTAATTTAAGATGTCAAGATCTCCTTGCTCCAATAAATTTACTCTTAACTGGCAATCTGATTTCATACTATCTGCAGGGCTAAATGTTTCTGCCCAGCAGCCCATTCTTACATCACCCGCTGGCATTTCATCATCTTCACTTCTGCTTCTACCCTGAAAAATGTTGGGATACTCTATTTAATCCTCAATTCCTGAATCAGATTCATAACTATGTATGTGCAGGATTGGGTTTTACAGAACTGAAATAAGACAGAGGAAGTGAAACTGGCTTGCTACCCTGATAGTTTTTGCTAGTTTCCTCTAGTGTTTTCTGGGGGGGAAAAAAAATCAGACTTCAATATAGAAAAGAAAATAAAAAGACCCATGTAATATTGGACAGTAATACATCTTCTATCATTACTAAGTTCAAAAGTAAATCTATAACTGTTTTAGATATTACATGCAGAAAAATTTAAATTTAAATTAGCATGTGGAATTGATGTTTCGTATTACAAGACTGAAAATTTGGTCTACTTCTTTATAAAATGACAAAATCTCTTTAGAGAAAAAGTTTGTGAACAATGCTCATGTGCATGAAATGGTACGTTTAACATGGGGTTAGAGTTTTGTTTCTAAAGAGCATCTTTTGCCAACCCTAATGCAATATGGGAGCCCTGGTGGTGTAGTGGATAAGAGCTTGGCTGTTAATCAAAATGTCAGCAATTCAAATCCACCAGCCACTTTTTGGAAACCCTATGGGGCAGTTCTACTCTGTCCTATAGGGTCACTATTAGTCAGAATCAGTTCAACAGTACCTAACAACAACAACAACAACAACAATACAATATGGAGTTATTAATAATAATAATGGTAATAATAGTAATGGTAATAACCAGTTGCTGTTGAGTTGTTTATGACTCATAGTGACCCTGTGAGCATCAGAGTAGACTATGCTCCATAGGGTTCTCAGTGGCTGATTTTTCAGAAATAGATTGCCAGGCCTTACAAGGCACATCTGAGTGGACTCGAACCTCCAGCCTTTTGTTTAGCAGCCAAATGCACTAACCATTTGCACCACCCAGCGGCTCCAATAGTAGTAATAGCTTCCATTTGTTGGGTACATACTATGTGTTAGGCACTATTTTAAGTACTTTACATGTATTAATTGCTTACATTCCTCAAAAGAAGCATAGAACTACCTAGAGCAGATAAGTAATATCAAAGAATAGATAATTCTCTTAAAGAGCTATTATCTTTTCTCATCATGATAAACATATTAATTTAATTAAACAATATCAGATAAAGAATACTTCAGTTCTTTGTACAATCAGGGAATTGTGGTTTGGAAAACTAAAATACATTTTTTTAAGTAGATAACTTTAAAAAAATACCAGAGTAATTAATTTTGGGAGTAGCTATATATAACATTTTAGAAATGCCACTTTCAACAACATTTCCTCTAGTATACCACTCTGCAAGTATAGAGATAATTATTATTCAAGTCAGTGTAACTAAAGAATTAAGGAAAAAAATCCTTAAATATCCCATAGGATTTAATGTAGTGATCATTAACATAACATATTAAGTCAATCTGACACTGATCCCAGAATGACATTTCTAAGGCAGAGGCTGATAGACAGGTGTCTCCTCTTGACACCTTGTAAGGTTTCTATTTACATAGGTAAGGTAGAATAGTAATTTTTAGTTGGTTTCTTTAATGTATCCTAAGAAGACATAAATAACTGATTTAGTACTCAATTTAACTGTATATAAATAATTAATAAAATAAAATGAAACCGTTGATGAGATGAGCAATTATAAAATTGATTTATTATGGGATGAATTTTTTTTTTTATCACTTCCTTGGAATAAAGTGTTGTTTCTTTTTAAAGAACACAGTCATTCTCAATGATGCTCATCCCAGAGATTTGAAACAAAACAAATATAAAGATTTCCCCTTTTGACAATGTCATTTCCTGGACATGGCTTTAAAATAAATATTTCTATTATGTATCTATTTTAATTCCAACTTTGGAGAACCAGATACCGAGGCCTCAGTAGCAGACGGCAGGAATGAGTTCTGGCACGGGGCAATGGAGAGGCTAATGTTTAGGGAGCGATGACATTAATCAAGGATATCTGCCTAATTCATTGTTCTTTACTTAATGGTGCACCGTCATTTAAAATTATCTAGAAAGGATATTATAACAGTAAATCACTGGCGAATTTGATTTAAATAGCTATAGAATCCATTGAAAAAATTCATTGAACCCTGGGTTTCAATCCTGATCCACTAATCCTTTGCTTGACTCAACAAGTTATTTACCATCACCACCACCCCCTCTTCCCTCAGTATAAGGAGCCCTGGTGGCACAGAGTTTAAAGCGCTCAGCTACTAACCAAAGGGTCAGTGGTTCAAACCCATCAGCTGCTTTGAGGGAGAAAGACGTGGCAGTCTGCATCCATAAAGATTTCAGTCTTGAAACCTTGTGGGGATAGTTCTACTCTCTCCTATAGGGTTGCTCTGAGTTGGAATTGACTGAACTGCAATGGATTTGGTTTGGGTTTTGGTGCTCAGTTTCCCCATATGTAAAATGAAGGAGTTGGACTAGTTACGTCCCAAGATATACAAAGCACACTACCTATGTAAAATTTCTGCCAGCTCTTAAAATTGTTTTTCTAGAACACTTGATGAAAATAAGTGAGTTTGAATTAATTTTCATTGATTTTTATCTGCCAGTATTTAATTTCATCTCATTTATATTTTATTGCTTTGTTTTTTTTAAAATCACACAAAAGGTTGTCCTTTCCAGCAAATAACTCCAGTATTGAATTCAGTTTAGTTTACCAAGATCAATATACCTAATCAGTATCACCCTAATCAATGTCTTCAAGTGGATTCTCTCTTTGTAAGAGCCCTCTGCTAAATGCTGAACAAACTGAGTGCAACATTCAGGTCACATGATCCCTAAGAAAGTGATCAGCACTCTTATGGAGTTGAGGTGCAATAAATGTTAGGTATTTTTTTTGGCATTGAGTCACTCTACCTCTATTCATTTGAATTTGTGACATAAATATACAACGTATATATATAATATGTGTGTGTGTATTTGCAAGCTAATAAAAAATTGGAGGTAAATTTTAGTGACTTTGAGGCAGCTCCTCAGAAGTATAGTTACATCAGAACAATAGAGTCCAGCTGTGTTGTTATACAGACGTAGGTTCAAATTTCACACCTACCATTTATTAATTGCACATGTCATTTAAACTCTTTGAGTCTCGGTTTCCACACTTATACAATGATGATAACAGTATTTAATTCATAGTTCGTGAAGAGTAAGTGAGCAAACACAGTGCTGGGAATGTAGTTCATGCTTAGTAAGTGGTAACTCTTACTGTTTAAGAGATTTGACTGGGAATATAGGTAACAGTAGATATAGTCTATTTATAGTTACCAGCATGTACAGGTAATTGAAGGTGTGTATCTTATTAAGGCCAAAGAACAATTTTTTTTTTTAATTAGCTCTCTTTGATCACCTAGAAGAATGGGCAGAGAACAGAGAGTGCTTATCTATGGTTTTTAAAACGATGTAAAAACCCATTGCTATCAATTCCAACTCATAGCAACCCTACAGGACAGAGTAGAACTGCCCCATAGGGCTTCCAAGGAGGGGCTGGTGGATTCGAACTGCTGACTTTTTGGTTAGCAGCTGAACTCTTAACATTGCACCACCAGGACTCCTTAAAAAGATATAGGTAATGCCATAGTAGAGTCACATGGGTGGGCTGAGCTCCACATGAACTGTTTTTTTTAACTTCCACATCAGGCCTAGCAGAGTTTGAAACATTGTAATAATGATTTATTAGCTGCCTAAATAAAGGATTGTTTGAGTTAGCGTAAACATTTAATGCTTAGAATTTAATCATCATTTGAATAAGGAAAATTAACTTTCAAAATACCATAAAATAAAATTCTTAGAATTAGCTCTGAAATATGAGATTGGGGTAAAATTTATCAAATGATAGACTGAAATGTTTATTAAACTTTTTCATGATAGAAAACTTTGACTTTTATGTAAAATATATCTTATTTTTACTCTAAAATGAAGTATAAAGCTATTATTTGATGATACTCAAAGATACTCTTCTCCAAATAAGAAACACACTCGTACTATCCTTGGCAAAGTATATAGTAGTCATCAAGATCATGGGATTTAAAGCCCGTCAAATCTGGGTTGGAACCTCAGCAAGAATCTAACTAGTTTACCTACATTCTCGCAGCCTCAGTTTCTTTATGTGTTCAATGGAGGTAACAATTGTGCTTAACTTAGATTTTTTAGGACAGTCAAAGGAGAAAGTTCAGGCATAATTATCATCACTTCTTCCAGATACATTTTGTTTCAACACCTAATTCTGAATTTGATTTCACTGTCTTTTTGGAATGTCAGCTTTTGTTTTTTTGTCTTTGTTATGTAGGATTAACCAGTCTCTTGACTTCGGGACTCTGGATTGGACTTAACAGTCTGAGTTTCAACAGTGGCTGGCAGTGGAGTAGTGGCAGTCCTTTCCGTTATTTGAACTGGCTACCAGGTAGGGGTCAGCCTTTCTGTGGTCGAATTAATGCAAATGTAGTTCATTGGCTGTTCTGGAGACTTTTATGATCTCATATATAGATCTCAAAGAGGAGAACTGGGAGACTTCATCAAGTACGGTGTATTTCTCACCTTGCTTTGAAATCTGTCCACTTTTCTGGAGGACAGAAACTGCTCTGAACTAATTATTCTAAATTGTCATAACACACAACAAACATAGCACAAAAGAAGACAAAATAGTAAATGTAAATCTTTCATAAAACAATCAGAAGAAACAAAAGGCCAATGATGACAAATGTTTTTGTCTTATTCACCTTGTTAATAGCTCCTAGAGGTACTCTACTGAGTATGATTTCAAGACATCCCCTACCTCCAGTCTTGGCTTCTCAGGAAAGAGTGAGACAAACCATTAATGATGCCTGCTGTGCGTGTGGGAAGGGAGAGGAGTTGCACACGGGTCACATATTTATTTGCCAGCTCTGCTATGGACGATACTAATATGGTGTTCTTTCATATGGTCAGACTTCTTTTTTAAAACCATGGAATGATTTTTGCATTTGGCTTAGAAAAATATCCATTTTCTATATGTACTGAGATATGCTATTTGAAAAAATCTGAGGATATAATATTCAGAATAGATGCTAAAACATACGAGAGAATTTTAATGGACTCCGTTGTGGTTTAAATGGATTAGATTTTCTATGAAATTCCACTTTCAACGTATTCCTTCTATGGGTGATGTTTACACGGCTGCCGCTAGAGTCTTGTAATACTAATCATTTTTATTTTCCTCTGGAATGGGGAAGTAAACATCACTGCAATGGAATATATGATGTCCTTTTTATGGCTGAGGATTTGATTGTTTGCCTACCATGAATGTACAAGGCAGAACTGAGTCAAATTAAATTGAAGAATACCAGTTGTGTTCAATCAGATAGCTAGACAACAGTTGTAGTCAACAGAAGTCTAGAGTTTATTCTTCTCTGTTGCTAAAGTATTGCAAACCATTAAGAAGGCCAGTTAATTTGAGGGTGATGATTATAATATTTAACCATTTGTCTTCTAAGAGTACAGTGAGAAAATTTGAGGGTTAGTTTATGTGAAGGTGAGGAGTGAAACTGGAATGTTAATGAGAAAGGAAAAGAAACATCCTTCCTTATTATACCAAGTGCCTGGGAAGCAGGTGCAAGATTAAATCATCTTCTGAAATAGTATGGGAATTTCTTCAAACTAATATTAGAAACCTTGTGGAATATTAGAAATTGTTATTGTATGAATTATTCAGTAAAGCATTCAACCGAGTACTTAACAATAATACATCTATTAAAATACGTTCCCATTTGAAATGAGGATATTTTATATAAATGATGTACAGTGTGAATTCAAATTATAATAACTATTGTAAGCATTTACAAAGACCACCAACTGATATGTTAAAGTTGTCAGTGGTTATATATTGGTAATTAAATAAATATATAAAATGATTTACTAATGAATAGATTAATAACTAACAGCTATAAAATGTGTTACTGTTTCTTGAAAGCTTCTTTCTAGTACTGCCTCATATCTGTAAGGTCAGTTATCCTGTTAGTTGTTTGGTCATAACGCCAAAATGTGTTGGTTAACATATTTTAAAAATATCTTTACCCTTACCACTAACAATTATTTTTCTTTGTGGGTTATTCAAATAACCTTCAAAAACTTATGATTAAAAACTTTGTAGAGCAGGTAGGATGATTTCCATCTTTCAGAAGGGAATGTGAAGTTCAAGCACAGTTTATATACGTGTCAAAAGTCACAAGACAGAGTCACTGACAGAATGCGACTCACTCACCCTGTCTTCAGGCGTGAGCTGGAGCTAGTTTTTAGAGTACTAGTTTTAAAATCATGTAGCATCAGAGTAAGGCGCCATGGTGGTGCAATGGTTAAGCACTCCAGCAGCTGACAGGAAGATTAGTGATTGGAACCCACCCAGCAGATCTATGGGAGAAAGACCTCGTGATCTTTTCCCATAAAGATTACAGCCAAGAAAACTCTATGGGAGCAGTTCTACTCTGTCACATGGGGTAGCGATGAGTTGGAATTGACTGATGGCACCCAACAACATCATCAGAGCTGTGAAAAGCAAGAGAAACATGGGTATCAATGTGTGTATCCATTACTTTAGCAAAGATGACTCTATCTGATTCTTTAATCAGCTGCTAATAAGAAATGGGATGAGGGCTTAGCCATTAAAAATATTCTTCAGTAGGCAGAAATACAACTATTATTGAGAAAGAGGTCTTAGTTCTGGGAACATTTATCACCATTTGGCATGGCATGTTACTGCTTCCAGTGTCTGTTTCCGTTATCTTTCCTGTCTTCTCTAACTGGAGAAGGTTTTCCCATGCCTAGATATGTCTTTCGCCTGATACTTACAGTTAGCTTGATTTAAATTTTGAGTAGTTATTTATAACGTCTAATATGACTGGTTTGTAACATCATGATTTTTTCTGTTTGTTTGTTTGGTACCTCTTTATGATGCATAATATAATCCAGTGTGAAGATTGTTCAAGTTTTAAGGTCGAGTTTTATTAATGGATATTGTGAAAAAAGGTTATTTAAAAAAATATACTTGTGTAGTCAACTTTTAGGCATTGGGATGATCCAAGAACGAATTAAAAAAAAAAAAAAATAGACATCCTGTTTTTTGCTTTGCATTCAGTAATTTTTTTTTTTGTGAATTTGTAGTCACAGACAGAATCGGAATCCATTAAATCCCAGGGATCAAGATAGGATGCTGTAGGGGCTTCTACTTGTAATACCTATAATAATTGCATTTAATGTTTCCTTTTCCTCAAAGGAAGCCCATCAGCTGAACCTGGAAAAAGCTGTGTGTCACTAAATCCTGGGAAGAATGCTAAATGGGAAAATCTGGAATGTGTTCAGAAACTAGGCTATATTTGTAAAAAGGGCAACACTACTTTGGATCCTTTTGTTATTCCCTCAGGTAAGCGATCTATTTGATCTGAAGTGCGTAAAATGTTAGAATTTGAAGATAGATGAAATTACAGCATACTCATAACTGCATGAAATGACTCCACAGGTTTTGTTGATAATTTATGGAGTAAACATAATGACACTCCTTCAAGCTTTCTTTTCGTTGGTTACTACTACTGGTTGCTAACATTTCCTAAGCGTGCTGTGGTGTTTAGGTATGGTGTCAAGCCTTTGATATACATGACGTAAGTAAGAATTTTATCTCCTATGCTGTAGGTGTTATTATTCACACATTACAGATGAGGAAACAGATATTCAGAGAATATATAAAACTTGCACAAATGACAAAACTGGAATTCAAGTGAGGAAATAAATATCCAAGAGGGATATCTTTATTATGTCCTCACAATTTAAGGATCTCTCTGGGTCCCAATGCTATTTAGCATCTTACACTGAAGTCTTCACAGAAATGGAATAAAAATATCCAAAGAGTAGGAACTGAATTTTATATCTAGGCTAGACTCCAGGAAAAAAATCCAATTGCGCGCTATGCTCGCCATTATAATTTTATAGAAGAATTAAACTACTTAGGCAAGAATACATCTTTTCTTCAAATTGACTAAAACAAACAAACAAAATATTACATTTTGTTTACCATGACTTTTTTTTGGAGGGATACCTAATTCTTTAGTTTTTCCCCCCTTGAGAAATCAGACAGTGTGGCATTCTGGACTTTTTTTTTTTCTGTGACTTTTAGAATATATTTAAAAATATAGTTGACATGGCTAAAAAGTCAAATGGGACAAAATGATAAATAATAAAGGTTTCCTCCCATCTCTTATCTCTAACTGCCCAGTTTCCCTCCCTGGAGAATATTTATTTCTAGCTGTGCATTGTTACAGAGTTATTCTATGTATATATGAACAAATAAGTTTATAATTGTTTTTTGTCTGTTTTATACAAATGGTAGTATACTATACATATAAACTTTACCCTCTTTTTCTTCACTTAACAATTTGGGACATCGTTTCATATAGTCCATAAATTGTTTCTGCATTCATTTTTAAAAATATTTTATTGTGATTTTGGAGGAAATTTCCATAGCAAATTAGGTTCTCATTTAACAATTTCTCTATATATTTTTCAGTGACATTGGTTACACTTTTCACAATGTGTCAACATTCTCATTATTTCCATTCTGGTTGTTCTGTTTCCATTAATCTAGTTTCTTTATCCCCCTTTATCTTCTCATCTTTGGTCTAGGGTAAATGTTGACCATTAGGTCTTGTTTAGATTATTGTTTAGAGGAGCACAGTACTCAGGGTGGTATTATTTATTTTGTGAGCCACTCTGTTTTTCGGCTGTTAGGTGACCTCCAGGATATGCATTCATTTTTATGACTGCACAATAGCCATTGCATGGAGAGACAGTATATTTTTTTGACCAGTCCCCTATTGATAGACCTTTAGCTTACTTTCAGTCTTTTATTATTACAAACAATTCTGCGGTAGATAACTTTATACACTTTTCATTTCATGCAAGTGATGATTCCTAGAGATGGAGTTGCTTGGTCAGAGGGTAGGTACGTTAGCAATTTTAATAGAATTTTAATAGATACAGACATGGCCAAGCTCTCTAATGGATATAGATGAGGGATCCCTGTTACTGGGATTGGTGACACTTTAGAGGCTTTCTATTATGGCATGTGGCTTGCCTCAGGAGGATCTCAATCTTTTTTGTATTTCACATCCTCTATTCACCCCTTTGGAGTCCCTTGGTGGCACAAACGGTTAACATGCTCAACTGCTAACCCAAAGGTTGGAGGTTCGAGTCCACCCAGAGGCTCCTGGGAAGAAAGGCCTGGTGATCTACTTCTGAAAAATCAGCTATTAAAAACCCTACAGAGCACAGTTCTACTTTTACACACATAGGGTTACCATGGGTTGGAGTCAGTTCAATGGCCACTGGTAACTGGTATTCCTCCCATAGAGATCTACCAATCTACCAAACACCACAGTATCAGCCTTCCTTCTTGGAAGAGTCCATACAATTCTTCAGAAGGTTTGGAATTGCTCCTTTTGGGAAGAGAAGAATAGTTATTTTACAGTTTTGCTGGTACAGGAGGCAGAGCTCTGTAACTTGAGTTACTTGCTTAACCCACCCGTTTTAGAAGTCTCTTCTGTAAAATGCAAACATTAATATATTTTCTTCTGTGTAATTCTGTTCACATTCTTAAATAAATTACTTTTATTTCTCTACCATGCCTCACCTTGTTGCACTTGCTAGCATTCACTTGACCTTGGATTTTGAATATCTCTATACTTCCTGGATTAAATATTCAATCTTATCTATGAAATATGCCAGAGCTTGGAAAGTGTATCAAGGATCAAATTATGCAGCACGCATGATTAGTGATGCCTTTGGGCAAGAATTCAGCCTTGTACCCTGCTGGTCTTTGCAGAACTGCCCTGTTTGTCTCTAATTCTTGGGTCCCTAGGGCTGCGCTGTCCGCATCCAGAGCCACTAACCACATGTGGCCACTGAGCGCGTGAAATGTGGCCAGTTTGAACTGAGATGATCTGTAAGGGTAAAATACACACTGGATTTCCAAGACTTGGTGTAATAAAAAGAATGTAAAACATCTCATAAGTTTTATTGATTATATTTTGGATATATGGGGTTTACAAATATATTATTAAAATTCATTTTACCCGTTTCTTTTTACTTTTATTTACTACAGTACTTGCAAATTTAAAATTATGTCTGTGGTTTATATGCTATTTCTGTTGGACAATGCTGCTCTAGAGGAGCAAGCAATCTCTTGTGGCTACCCCAGGGAACTCCCCTTCATTTCACTTGGGTTGATTATTTTCATGTTTTAAGATATTTTTAAGGTTCATGTGTTTGGGTCTTTGAAGCCCTTAGCGGTTGCTGACATTATTTTCATTTTACTAGGCAGCAAAATTAAAATATCCCACCAGAGGGCTCCAGAGCTATGCTAAGATCTTTATTTCTGTAACCACTGGAAGTGTACAGAATCTAAATTGGATTGTGGGAATAGAGTGTTTAAAAATATACATTTTTTTCTATTACAATAATACAGTGTTTGGTTATCATGACTGACTAATTACTTGAATAACTACTGTGCACAGAATCCTCGGCTTAATGGGATCTTTGCCATTAGAGGAAGATGGGACCAATTCATTAAAAAAAAAAAAAAAATTTAAAGCATATAGTAAGCATGTATTAAGGCAGCACATTTGAGAACATTTTATACCAAACTTAAAATATAATTTTATTTCCTTTTTTTAATTGTGCTTTAGGTGGAAATTTACAGTTCAAGGTAATTTCTCATACAAAAATTTATACACATATTGTTTTGTGATATTACTTGCAGTCTGCACAATGTGGCAGCACACTCCCCCTTCCCACTCCAGGTTCCCTGTGTCCATTTGTTCCCTGGGCCTTTCTGCCTTCTCATCCTGCCTCTGTACAGGAGCTGCCCATTTGGTCTCTTGTATCTGATTGAATTAAGAAGCACACTTTTCACAAGGATTATTTTATGTTTTATAGTCCAGTCTAATCTTTGTCTGAAGAGTGGGCTTTGGGAATGGTTTCAGTTCTGGAGTAACAGATCTTCCGGGGGCCATAGGTTTGGGGGTTCCTCCAGTCTCTGTCAGACCGTTAAGTCTGATCTTTTTACGTGAATTTGAGTTCTGCTCTGCACTTTTCTCCTGCTCTGTCCGGGACTCTCTGTTGTGTTCCCTGTCAGGGTGGCCATTGGTGGTAAATGGGCACCATTTAGTCAAACTTAAAATATAAATTGACAGTACACAATACTGGGGAAGTCAGCACAACTTGACCAGGGCAAAGTCATAGAAGCTTCACAGACACATCCAAAGTCCCTGAGCAACCGAGTTACTGGGCTGAGGGCTGCAGACCATAGTCTCAGGGGACATCCAGCTCAACTGGCATAGGATCGTTTATAAAGAAAATATTCTACATCCGACCGTGGTGAGTAGCGTCTGGGATCTTAAAAGCCTGCGAGCAGCTGTCTAAGATACATCTACTGGTCCCATCCCGGCTGGAGCAAAGGAGAATGAAGAAAACCAAAGACACAAGGGAGACATTAGTCTAAAGGACTAATGGACCACAACTACCTCAACCTCCACCAGACTGAGCCCAGCACAACTAGATGGTATCTAGCTACCACCACTGACTGCTCTGACAGGGTCCCGGACAGAGTGGGAGAAAAATGTAGAACAAAATTCAAATTCACACACACAAAAAAAGACCAGACTTGCTGGTCTGACAGAGACCAGAGAAACCCCAATAGTATGGCCCCCAGACATCCTTTTAACTCAGTACTGAGGTCACTCCCAAGGTTTATCCTTCAGCCAAAGATTAGACAGGTCTACGGAGCCCTGGTGGTGTAGTGATTAAGACCTCTGCTGCTAACCAAAAGGTTGGCAGTTCAAATCCACCAGCCACTCCTTGGAAACACTATGGGGAAGTTCTACTCTGTCCTATAGGGTACTATGAGTTGGAATTGACTTGACAGCAACAGGTTTGGTTTTGTTTTGTTTTTTATAGGGCAAACAATAATACACATGAGCAACATGCTTTGTAGTTCAATTATGTGTACGAGACTAAACGGACACACTAGCCCAAAATAAAAGACAAGAAGGCAAGAAGGGACAGGAAAACTGGACAAAAGGAAGTGGAAACTAGGGTGGAGAAGGAGTGTTGACACAGCAGAGGGTTGGCAACCAATGTAACAAAACAATGTGTGTATTAATTTTTAATGAGAAACGAATTTGCTCTGTAAACTTTAACCTAAATCACTATCTATATCTGTATTTGTATCTATATCTCTATATATAAATTGACATTTATTTGGTAATAGAGTCTCTCTCTAAGCAAGGTATGTTGGTAAATTGCTGTTTGACAGTATCTGTACAGCAGTAGTAATAAGCTGCTGTATAAAAACTATTACTTCAGTTATTTTTCTATACCACCACTCATTATACCTCCCATGTGCCGGGCCCTATACCAGGTTCTAGGGCTTACAGGGATGAATAGAGTGAGTCTCTGTCTTCAAGCATCTTGACCTTTACTTTCCCCAGCTTATTGCTATGACCAAAAAATTTTGTGATGTATAGTCAAGATTATGAAATTTAACCAAAACTATGACTCCAAAAATTAGGATGTTGACAACTATTTCTTGTTTAATCAAATAATAATTGTGTGGTGTTTATAATTTCCAAGCACATTATCTCCGTTGTTTTCTGGTTCAGAAGAACATAGTGGCAATGAGAAGTTTAGTATTAGTATTATTTTTTAAAATTTACATGTATAGATATTTTAGTTCATATGATACGACTTGCCCAAGATCATATAATTTCAGGTTTTGTCTCAAAAATTTCCTTGTCCTAGCCACAATATCACATGTCATCTTTTGGGACCAAGTAAACGGTAGGAGGTCGATTCAGGAACACAGTTCATGCTGCTAAGGTGGCAGGGGGCTCTTGGTGGCCACCTTGTCCCCCACCCATTCTACTGCCTGCTTTAACACTAATCTTTTTCGTGCTTGCCCTCTGAGTATTGCCTCTCCGTTGGAGAATGACCCCCTGATGTCTATAGAATAAAGGTAAATCAAAATCTTTTAGGTAATGTATTATGTTAGAACTTTTGCACTTCCATCATTTTTAAAGGAGCGCTGGTGGCACAGTGGTTAAATGCTAACTGAAAGTTGGCAGTTTGAACCCACCCAGAGGCACCATGGGAGAAAGACCTGGCGATTTGCTCCTGTAAAGATTACAACCTAGAAAACCCTATGGGGCAGTTCTACTTTGTGACATGGGGTTGATATGAGTGGAAATTGACTCGACGGCATGTAACAACAACAAGCACAGGTTTGCTAAAGATTTAAGTTGCAGATAAAATTAGTCCATTGTATCTTAATGTGACCTTGTTGTAAGTATGATTAAAAATAAAAAGATATCCCACTTAACTTTTTTATAAAGTAAAAGGACAGGGTTCATTTACTTTTTGGACTAAAAGCAAACAAGATAGGATATATCTAGTCTATCTTTTGGTGAATATACAGACCAAGACATGAAACATATAGTACTATCTTTATTTGCCTGTAGCTATGAACTGTTCCATACATAGAATGATAGAAAATATGGCTATAATTAAAAAAACACTTCCACGTTAAATGTTCTCAAACTTTTTTTTAGAACGTGATGTGCCTACTAACTGTCCCAGTCAGTGGTGGCCATACGCAGGCCACTGTTACAAGATTCACAGAGAGGAGAAGAAAATCCAAAGAGGTGCTTTGATTGCATGTAGGAAAGAAGGTGGTGATCTGGCAAGTATCCACAGCATTGAGGAATTTGACTTTATTTTCTCCCAGCTGGGATATGGTAAGAAACCTTACATCGCTAATATGTTTTACTCCAGCCCTCCCCACTCTCCACCCATCTCTGGAAAATTTAATAATAAATGTCAAATTGCATGATTTAATAACTAATGTTAATAATGCCTAAAATGTGAAACTTATAAAATAATTTAAAGAATTCTTATTATGCAAAGATACTTCAATTTTTTTAAATATATAATCAGTTTATGAATAGTGTTTATATTGTTTATTTTTCTAGCTATAACCTGGACTCAATGTAGTCTACCTTAAACTTGTCAACAATGTTTCATTTTCGGGAGTCATTTGTGTGTATGTATGTATACATATTTTTAAGGCCTACATTTTATCTCACAAGAACTAGTGAAAGAAATTGAGTATTTTACTGGAGTGCTTAGGTGCTGACCTAAACCTTTTAAAAATGCGTATTCTCAAGTTTAGATACATAATTTAAGAAATACATAGAAAGTGTACTAACTAAAATATTATAAAGTTTTCAAAAGTTGGCCCCATTTAAAAAAAAAAGATTAAAATGAGCTGGGAGCATTTTTCCTGAGGAAGAAGAGGCTGAGGAACAACATAATGACACTAGGCACTCAGCAGTACTTGTTGATTAAATAAATGATTATCATTTTCAACTTCCATTGATGAGGCTGCTGAATAGCTGCAGCTGGTCTTCATTTCCACCATGCCAAACAAGAGGAAATAGGTGACTATGATGGTGGAGACTGCTTCCTGACACACATTGCCTGAAAACTGACAGCAGTGAGGGTTAGGGGGTGGGCAGGAGACGAAAAACCAATTAACGAATAGATGAGAAAAAACACTAATAGCAGAGAAAGATTTAAAAGATCCCCAAAACACGACTACTCCTAGCACCCTTCCTCCTCTGCTTACGTCACTGAATTCAGTAGCCTGCTGCAGCTTATAAACAATTTCTTCATTACTCTATGTTTATCTACCCTGGAAATTTCAGACTAAAAGATAATAATGTAATAAAAACTGACGTATCTGAATAACAGTCACTTAAGGTTATCGTGATACTTAGAGATAGCTAAGAAGGTTTGCAAATGAATCAGGTTAGTGAAGATGCTGTAGAGCTAAAGTGAAAATTTTGTTCCGTTCTATGTGATGTGGTATAGTGATAGAAGAGCTCCGTGTTTTTATTGCTATGATTATTTTGGAAAGTTGAATAACAAAGGCTGCTTTTAAATTCAGCTTGAGAATTAGTAAAATTCCAGTAGGGAAACTTTCTAAGTTTTAAATTATTGATAAGGATTTACTCACTTAAAATAACAAAATAATACTTATAAAGGTAAAGAAAAGTTACAAAATTAAAAATATTGCTTATAAATTAAAAGCCTAGAAAACCTGTTTTAGCTCATTGTCATGGTTTATTTTATATTAATCATGGAAATACACTTAAATTGGATAAGTTGGGGCCTTTCCACATAAGTGGAGTCCTGGGTGGTGCAAACAGTTAACATGTTCAACTGCTGACCTAAAGGTTGGAGGTTCCAGTTCACCCAGGGGTGCCTTGCAAGAAAGTCTTGGTAACCTACTTCTGAAAGACCAGCCATTGAAAACCCTATGGAGTGCACGTCTACCCTGACAGACATGGGGTAGTTGTGAGTCAGAATCGACTTGATGACAACTGGTTTCCACATAAGTTATGACTCATTTGTAAAACTCAGCCTAGCAACCTTATACTCACATATTATATATATTTTATAGGATCAAGATTGTGTTTAGGATTTACAAAACGTAGAGAGGAAGAACAACTTAGTAAGAAAAACTTTTATCTAAAGCTCTTAATACTTAAGTTAATTGAGGGATTTAGATGTTCAGTTTTTCATTGCTCTTGAATCAAAATCCTTGAGTGGTACAAGAGGTCATTTTGAAACCTATGTGTGTTGCTCAAGAGATTACAATCTGCCGAACTTATGAAAGGAAAAGGAGAGCACGTGTGCTGGCAGTGCCATTCACACTTCATGATGCTGGAAACATCTGCTGGGGCTGGCACCAGGCCCGCCTGGGACTTCCTCAAAAGCAAAGCTTAGTGACAACTTTTAGGAGGAAGAGACTCAACTACTTAGGGAAATTCCTATATAGTGTGGTATTTTTCTCATTTTCTACTGCAACAACATCTTTACTATCCTTTGGCAAGTACTTTTTCTATTTTTTTAAATAATATTTTATTGTGTTTTAGGTGAAAGGTTACACAGCAAATTAGGTTCCCATTTAACAGTTTTTATACAAAATGTTCTGTGATATCGGTTACATTTTGTACAGTGTGTCAGCATTCTCATTATTTCCAGACTGTTTGTTGTTTCCATTAATCTAGTTTCTCTGCCCCTCCTTTCCTTCTCATCTTTGCTTTCGGGTAAGTGTTGACCATTTGGTCTCATATAGTTGATTATTTAAGGGCGCATAGTACTCACAGGTGATGTTTGGTTTGTAAGCCAATCTATTATTTGGATGAAAGGTGACCTCCAAGAGTGGCCTCAGTTCCAGGTTCAAAGGGTATCTTAGGGTGATACTCTCAGGGTTTCCACTAGTCTCTATCGGTCCAGTAAGTCTGGCCTTTTTTGGGAATTTGAGTTTTTTTCTACATTTTCCTCCCATTCTATCCAGGACCTTTTGTTGTGTCCCTGATCAGAATGGTTGGTAGTGGTAGCTGGGCACGGTCTTAGTTCTGGTCTCAGGATAGATGAGGCTGTGGTTCATGTGGGCTGTTAGTTGGCAAGTACTTTTATTTTACCATGTAAAGAACTTAAAACAAGCATTCATGATGGAGTTTCCAGGAGAGTAAATTGAATAGATACAGAATTGTGTATTCTCTAGTTTTTAAATTTGGACATGTTCATGTGTTTCGCCATGAAATCTCAGGCTTTGGTCACTTCAGTTTTGTCCCATTTTAGTTGTTCTAGATAGAATTCTTAGAATTATAACTATTTATAAAATCAGTAATGTTTGCAGAGAATTTCAAAACAAAATGATCACATTTCCTGTTTATATCTGGTTGCTCTTGTTGTAACTTTTATTTGTAATTTGGGTCTTAATGTTATTTCATGGCATTTCATGGTGAAAATGTCTAGACTCATTTATAGACTGGGAAATAAGTGCCAAATATCAGGAGGCAGCCCAACTCCTCAGTTTATATTTCTTCTTATTTTATAGATCATTTTCACTTCTATGAGAGTGATAGAGCTTTAATAGAAGCACCTAGAATGCTCTTTTTTTTTCTTTAGACTTAAAATGCTGTGATTTATTAAAAAATTTGTTGTACTTTAGGTGAAAGTTTACAGTGCAAATTAGTTTCTCATTCAAAAATTTTATACAAATTGTTTTGTGACATTGGCTACAATCTCAACCATGTGTCAGCATTCTCCCCCCTTTCCACCCCAGGTTCCCCATGTCCATTTGTCCAGTTTTCTGTCCCTTCCTACCTTTTCATCCTTGTTTTTGATCAGGTGTTGCCCATTTGGTCTCAGATATTTAACTGAACTAAGAAGCACACTCCTCACATGTGTTATTGTTTGTTTTATAGGCCTGCCTAATCTTTGGCTGAAAGGTGGACTTCAGGAGTAGCTTCAGTTCTGAGTTAGCAGGGTGTCCAGGGACCGTATCTCTGGGTTTCCTCCAGTGTCTGTCAGACCAGTAAGTCTGGTCTTTTTTGTGTGTGAATTTGTATTTTGTTCTACATTTTTCTCCTACTCTCTCTGACAATAGATGGTCCCTGTCAGAGGTGTTGGTGGTGGTTGCTGGGTGCTGTCTAGTTCTTCTGGGCTCAGGCTGGTGGAGTCTGTGGTTCGTGTGGTCCATTAGTCCTTTGGACTAATAATAATATTTTCCTTGTGTCTTTGGTTTTCTTCATTCTCTTTTGCTCCAAATGTAATGGGACAAATAGATATATATTAGATGGCCACTCACAAGCTTTTAAGACCCCAGATGCTACTCACCAAAGTAGGATGTAGAACATTTTCTTTATGAACTGTGTTATGCCAATTAACCTAGATATTCTCTGAGATCATGGTCCCTAGCCCTCAGCCCCAGTTACTCAGTCCCTCAAGGTACTTGAATGTGTCTAGGAAGTGCCTGTGACTTTGCCTTGATCAAGGTGTGCTGACTTCCCCTGTGTTGTGTGTTGTCTTTCCCTTCACCAAAGTTAACACTTGTCCACTATCTAGTTAGTGATCTCTACTTCCCACCCCTCCCCTCTCTTGTAACCATTAAAGTTTTTTTTTTCTGTGTGTAAACCTTTTCTTGAGTTTTAATAATAGTGGTCTCATGCAATATTTGTTCTTCTGTGATGGACTTATTTCACTCAGCATAACGCCCTCCAGATTCATCCGTGTTGTGAGAAGTCTTGTGGATTCATCATTGTTCTTTATCATTGCATAGTATTCCATTGTGTTTATGTACCATAGTTTGTTTATCCATTCATCTGTCGATGGGCACTTAGGTTGTTTCCATCTTTTTGCTATTGAGAATAATGCTGCAGTGAACATGGGTGTTAGAATGTTCTTAATAACAACATTGTTGTTGTTCTAAGTTGCCATTGTGTCTGCTGTGACTCATGGCGACTCCATGTACAATTGGCATATGTAGCCAGTAAAATAAAAGTGATTTTAAATTTTTACTATTTTAAAATATTCATAAGACTTAAAAGTAGTCAAATAGATTTATACACTAATAGGCTATCATATTTCCAATGATGAGTGCAGATGGCATGTTATTTTCTAGAGAAGCCTGGTAAATTGTTTGTAACAAAAAAGTAGCTCCACAAGATAGAGATAATGATCAACCTACCTCAGTTTCAGAATACAGCATGTAGATCAGATAAGCACTCAAGAGGGTGATCTGTAAAATAGTTATATCAAAGGGAACAGAGCGAACATTGATAAAGCAGAAGGCTTCCTTTCCTGATACCCTTCTGACCTTCAGAAAGCAACCTTTGTATAAATTGCTTTTGTGTTTTTATTTCTGTTTAGAGTCAAATGATGAGTTGTGGATTGGTTTGAATGATATCAAGATTCAAATGTACTTTGAATGGAGTGATGGAACACCTGTAACATTTACCAAATGGCTGCGTGGAGAACCAAGCCATGAAAACAACAGGCAGGAAGACTGTGTTGTGATGAAAGGCAAGGTAAGGCAACTTTAATTACTGATACTTAGAAAAAGCCAAGTTTATTGCATGCAAAACTCTAACAGGGATTTTTTCTTCTGCCCTACTTATTACATGTGGTTGTTTAGATTGTTTCTATTCTACATAAATTGACATGGACAAAAGTTGAACCAAAATTCAGATTCTGTCTCTTAAGTCTCTGTCAGTTGTCTAATAAAGTAAAATTTTCAGAGATGCACAAAAGCAACAGACAGAAATTTTTGGTTCAAGGATGAGACGATACTGTTCCTATGCTGGATCCTATATATAAATATAAAAAATATATAATCTTGATTGATCAAATCAGAGCTTTGGTTCTACTTTCAACTGGTTGCACTGAGTAGATGCAGACCTAGTTAGATCCCCTCTGGGTTCTACTACCTTGAATCTGTATTTGGAGAACTAGATTCATTTTTTCAGGTTGAATGGAGGTCTCAAAATATCAAGGATTGCTTCTGTGTGTTACATATGACCTTAACAACTGAAGGGTATCATAAAATTATCTTTTGTTAATAGGTGATGAACATGGTGGCTAAGAGGCTAGATTTTGCTGTTACTTATTTCGTTCTTTCTAAAGGGGGGATAATAATTGTACCTGCTTCACATGGTGGGTATGAGGATGAAATAGGTTAATGTATATAAAGTGCACAGTTCTTGGCCCAAAGTTATTGTTCACTAAATACCAGCTATTATTTTTTCATTGTGGTTGTTTTTTGTTACTAATTGAAAGCTTAAGAAAAGAGTAGTAGTTAATTATCCAAAGAGTAGGCATAAGAGTGTCCCAGGCAGAGGAAACCAGAGAGCACCATGCTTTTAAGGACTGAAAGAACAATATGGCTGAAAATGCAGAGTTAGAGGTGGAACAGTGGGTAAGAATACTAGCGTTAAGGTTAGAGAAATATGTATTAGTCCGGGAATGACAAGACCAAACTTTCAATTATAAACATTACTGTATTAGTTTCCTAGTGCTACCATAACAAATTACTAGAAATTTGGTGAGCTTATAAGAATAGAAATTTATTCTCTCACAGTTCTGGAGTCCAGGTGTCCAAATTCAGGGCATCAGTGGGACTATGCTGTCTCTGTCTGCTCTAGGGGAAGATCCTTCCTTGTAACTTCCAACTTCTGGTAGCCCCAGTGTTTCTTGGCATTCCTTGGCTTGTAGATGCATTTTCACATGGCCTCTTTCCCCTGTATTTCTGTGTCTATTGTCTTCTTCTATAAGGATGGTGCTCAGATTGAATTAAGACCCACCCTACTGAGGTAGGAAACCCTGGCGGCATAGTGGTTAAGAGCTACGGCTGCTAACCAAAAAGGTCGGTAGTTCGAATCCACCAGGCGCTCCTTGGAAACTCTACGGGGAAGTTCTACTCTGTCCTTTAGGGTCGCTATGAGTCAGAATCGACTCGACAGCAATGGTTTTTTTCTACAGAGATATGACTTCTTGTTAACTGATAACATCTTTAAAGACCCTATTTCCAAATAAGGTCACATTTGCAGGTACCAGGGTTAGGACTTCAGCCTATCTACAATTCAATCCATAATGATTACTCTGGCTACAGGGTTGAATACCAGATTGCAGTGGGTTGAGATAAGTGAGAGATGAGGAACTGGAGGCAGACAATGCAGAAAACGTTTTCAAGAAGGTTAGCACTTAAGGGAAGGAGGGAAGAGGTTGCTGTCAACATTAAATCTCTAAAGAAGGGGGAGGGGATCAAATCTGAAGCAAGGTGGATGGTTTAGTCATAGATCCAAGGGGACAGCTCATCAATTGAAATAAGAAGGGAGGAAAGATGACTGTGGTTTTAGGTGTGTTTTCAGGTTTGGTGTTTTAGGTGAGGGAGTTTTTTTCTGGATGGCTATATGTACTTTTTCAACTAGAAGACAGAGCTGACTGTTGAGGCTGATAGGAGATTGCATGCAGATCTCTTAGTACTATCATTTAAGGATTGACAAGTATTTTCAGTCTCCCTCTGTTGTTGTTAGCTGCCCTCAAGTTGGCCCCATTCATACTAGCGCCTGACTCATGGCCACCCATGCACAACTGAATGAAACACTGTCCTGCCTTGCGCTAGTTGTGGATTGGGTTGTGAACCACAGGGTATTCATTGGCTAATTTTTGGAAGTAGATTTCCAGGCCTTTCTTCCTAGTCCACTTTAGTCCAGGAGCTCTACTGAAATCTGTTCAGCATCATAGCAACATTCAAGCCTCTGTTCACAGATGAGTGGTGGCTGTGCTTGAGGTGCATTGGCTATGAATTGAACCCTGGCCAAGAATTCTACCTCTGAATCACCAGTGTCTCACAGTCTCCCTTTACATTCTTCTAAACAGTGGCTTGATCACCCAAGATATAAAAACATATTGAGGTTATAATCTCTCTTTATGTCTTTGTAGCCAAAGTCAAATTTGCTATTTATGTGGAGAACCTAAACTTACATTTCCTTCTGTAGATGGCATTTTCTCTTAATAACCTTGAATCTTAGTTTTCCTTATCTGAAACACAAGAAGACAGTATTAAAGTCAAGTCACCGAGAATCCTTTGTTATTTCTCTTTGCTCTCTGCAGGATGGACTCTGGGCAGATCGGGCCTGTGAGCAGCCTCTTGACTACATCTGCAAAATGAAAGCACAAACCCAAGCTCCAGGAATAGTGGAAGTAGAAACAGGCTGCCGGAAAGTGAGTACAGAATGTATACGATGGTTTAAGATCAGCAAATATTGTCTGATAGATGCAGCTTTATTTCATTATGTCTGAAAAAAAAAGTGCTTTATTAACATCATCAATAGCCAGATGTTTCAACTGATTGAAAGTAGAATGGTTTATTATTTGTTAGCGTTCAGCATCATTGTTCTCCAAAAAATCTTTAATATTCTCCACAGGTAACATGGGGGTTACTCATGGTCAGTATTTCAGAATGTCATGGGAATTGGGAGGAGAAAGAACAGGAATAGAACAACATACAGAATGGAGCTTGGTGAGGATAAGGAGACTAAGGCAGGTCATGGAAGAAAGTGTCATCAAGGTATTGGTAGTCTAAGATGCCATGGATTGTCAAGAACATTTTCAGTAGATAATCTTACATTGCTGAAAGCAAACTATCCTTAGTTGTCTTCTCTGATTAATATTATTTCTGCTGAGCCTACTTTTGGTGGAAATACTTTTCGATAAATATCTGCAAGTGGAGACAATAGAGCTAGACTCTAGCTGGTGTCAATAAAACTCAGATAAATGGAGTAAGTCATGTAACTTCACCTGTAGAACAGAGTTAGTAATACCTGTCTGCAGGTCTTACATTTCTTTGAGGATAAAGTAAATGAACACTGTGAAATAATTTTTAAAAGCATTAAAAAAAAAACAAAAATGCAGGGTTTATAGTTACTATTTTCCTGTTTGCTGGTTGCTCATCTTCCTCTTTTTTCTTTTGTCACTTCTCTTGGATAAAAATAAAGTAACAACTAATTTTCTTTCCAAGACTGTTATGTTGTGATCAAATAATCTTATAGCAAATATGTAAAGGTTGAAGAATTCATGAAAACATAATTTAATACAGTACAAATAAACCCTAAAGAAAAATGGAACAGATGAAAAAAAAAATCATAGAACCTTAGCTATGCAAAGGATCTTAGAGATTATCAAAATCCCCCTCCTAACTTTTGTATTCTGGAAATTTCTGCCAGAAAGCTATATGGTTTTCTTAGAGTCACACAGAGGGAAGGCTAGAACCCAGGTCCTCTGTCTCCCATGCCACTACATTTTGTCTCATTACTAATACACTTATGTATTCTTTGCCTAATCATATGCCTTTTTGTATATTATTATAATTTTCTATAAATAATCCTTGCATTTTTATTATTTGTATACAGTCAATACAAGTTACATATTTTCTTTTTTCTATTAATTGCACCTATTTGCAATCTCTAATAATAACCAAATTTAATCATTAGAATGATAATAATAAAAACAAAATAACAGCAACTGTTTATCAATTATCAAATACAGTTATTATGCTCTCAGTGATTCTGCAGGATAAGTATAATATTCCTAATGAGACACAAGGGGAATCTGAAGCTCAGAGAGATTAAAATACTTTGGTCAGTTAAAAACATCTGCTCTAGACAGTGACTCCCACAAAGGTCAGAAAAGACTAGAAAAAAATCCACTTACCAGGAAAGGAAGCTAATAAGGCAATTTTTTTGTCTGGACCAAAGCAGTTGGTGGAGTAGGGACCTTTTGCAAATTTAAAACCACAGGCCTGTTCTCAAACAGGTCTGGGATTCAATTTTCTGCTACCTGTGTGGAAAAACCCTGAGCCAAGAAATGAACATAAAGTGGGCCTGAGTTGCTAGTACTCCAGGATGCCTGACACATGCAATGTACATATTACTGTTAAAAAAAAGAGAAAAATCAGCATAGCACGCTTATGAAAATACCTTGCAAGAGGAGGGCAAAACACGCACATTATTTGTGTAAAAATACAGTAAATCCTCTTTGTAAGGAAGTCCCCTTAATCCAGGCTGACTAGGAGTCCAACAGATGAATCTGAAATCCAGAATTATAAAATATACCACCAGGATCTTCAGATGGTGGAATTAATTGATATGACATTAAAATTAATATATTAAAAAATGCATAAAAAATAAAGGTTGGAATTTAAACCATGAGGCAGGAATGATGAGCCACTAAATTTTGTTATGTAGTGTTTTCATTATGATCCAATGCTAAATATTTGTAATTTCCATTGAGATTTCTTTGATCCATGAATTATTTAGAAATGTGCGTGTACCTGTGTGTTTGGTGGCGGGTTTTGTTTGTTTGATTTTTAGCTTCTAAATGTTTGGGGGCATTATTGATTTTAATTTCACTGTATTGTGACCATATAAAGTGTTTTTTGTTGTTGTTATTATTTGTTAAGATTTTTTCCTTATGGCCTAGTTCATAGTCATTTTTTGTAAATATTCCATGTGCATATAATGTTTTTTGATTACTGGGTGGCACAGAACATGTTATTGCCATATGTTGAAGAGATAAAATTTAGTAATTACATTATGCATGTATTTCATATTCTTAATATTTTGTGCTTGATCTGTCATTTACTGGAAAGTGTGTTAAACTGTACCTCTATGAGTATGGATTTGTCATTTTCTTCTTATAATTTTGTTAATTTTTGCTTTATATACTTTGAGGCTGTGTTATATCTTCCTGATGAATCGTTCTGTTAATTATTATGTAATTAATTTCTTCATTCCTAATATTTTTTTGCCATAAAGTCTATTTTATTTAATGTTAATATTGCCATAGAAGCTATCTTTTGGTTGGTATATCCCTAGTATCTCTTTTTCCAACTCACTGCTTTTAACTGTTCTATGCCATTACGTTTTAGATATGTCTCTTGTAAATACGTACGTGCATTTTTATTTTTAATCAAATTTGAGGAACTTTAGCCTTTAACAGGCAAATAAATGAGTTCAGATTTGTTTCGCTTACTGATATATTTGGATTTTTTTCCACTATCTTATTTTGTGTATTATTTTATTTATCATTCTTTTTTTCTTTTTTTTCCTCCTTTCCTGACTTCCACTGGTCTATTGAGTATCTTTATTCCATTTTTTCTTCCTCTACAGATTTGGAAATTATACACTCTATTTCTATTTTTTTAATGGTTAACTTTATATTTTTAATATGCATTCCTAACTTCACGAAATTAAGGCTAATCAATATCTTTATCTGCTTCCTGAACAGAATGAGGATCATTGTTGCACTTTTTAAATTTTTTAAGCTTTTTTATTTTGAAACAATTTTAGACTTATAAGAAGTTGCAAGAATAGTACAGAGAGTTCCCCTGTACCATCTATCCAGCTTCCTTTATTAATAACATCTTTAAAAACTTTGGTAGATTATCACAACCAGAAAATTGACATTGATACAATATTATTAACTAGATTACAGACCCTAGTCTCTTCTACTTTTTTAGCTCTCACAATTAGTTACAATTGCTATTTGTACAGACATTTAAATCCGGATTTACTAAAACGTTTATCAGTTTCATAGTAATCCCACTCATTCCTCCTGAGTTAAAATTCCTTCTTGCCAAAGTAAATCCTTGAATAATTTTTTCACTGTGTATCTGGGAGTGTAAAACTCATTGTCTTTGTCTAAAAATGTCTTTAACTCATCCTTATTGCTGAATAATAATTTATATGCTGGTTTAGAATTCTAGATTGACATCTGTTTTCAGACAGCACTTTAAGTATTATTCCGTTGTCTCCTGGCCTTTATTTTTCTCATTGAAATTCCTGTTATCAGACAATTCTTCTTCTTTTAAAAAAAAAAAAAATGGGTACACTGTCTTCTCTCTGACTGATTTGAAGATCTCATTGTCTTTGGCATTTTGCCGATTCATTACAATGTATCTAGGATTGGATTTATTTTATTTGTTCCACTTGATACTTGGTGTGCTTCTTCATTAAAATGCAGATTCATATCTTTCTTTAAATTCATGAAAATTCTCAGTCATTAATATTCTTTGCTTCTGAAATTTCTCTTAGATCAGTGTTCTACTTTCTCATTCCATTATCCATGTTTTCTTTCTATCAACATGTTTTATTAACCTCTTTTTTATCTCTTTATTCCTCTATGCTACATTAATCTGATTTACTAATTCTCTCTGAACTGCTGTCTATTAAATTTAATCTGGCTATTGAGTTTTTAACTTCATGTCTATACTTTTAGTTTCTAGAAATTGTGTTTTTTTTTTCCAGATTCTCCTGTTCTTTGTTCATAGCATTTTGTTTTTCCAGTATTGGTTTTATTTCTTCTTTTATCATTTAAATAATCTCAAGCATGATTATTTATTTTTTCTTCTTTCTTTCTTAAATTGTGATTTAGGTGAAAGTATAGAGAGCACATTAGTTTCTCATTAAACAGTTAATACACGAATTGTTTCGAGACATTGGTTACCAGCCCCATGGTGTGTCAACAGGTCCCGTGTTTCCATTTGTCCAGTTTTCCTGTCACTTCCTGCTTTCTTGTCTTTGTTTTTGGGCTAGTGTGCCCATTTGTCTCATATACATGATTGAACTGTGAAGCTTATCCCTCATGTTTTTTATTGTTGGCCCTATAGACCTGTCTAATCTTTGGCTGAATGGTTAACCTCAGGAGTCACTTCAGCACTGAGTTAAAAGGGTGTCTGGGGGGCCATATTCTTGGGGTTTATACAGTCTCTTTCAGACCAGCATCAAACATGATTATTTTTTATAATTTTTTTTACATTGTCCTGTTAAGTTATTGGGTCTCTCTTAAACTGGGATATTTTCTCACATGGTGCAATTTTTGAGGATGATTTAGTCTTTATTGGATGTCCCCACACCTATCTATCACCCCCAAATATTGTAATCTCATGAGTCTGTTGAGTGGTTTTCTATTTTGTGTCTGTGCGTACCTAAGAAATTTTCGTTTTTTAGACCAAGTTTTACTTTTTTTTTTTAAATTGTGCTTTAAGTGAAAGTTTACAATTCAAATTAGTTTCTCATACAAAAATTTACACACATTGCTAGGTGACCCTATTTGCTCTCCCTATAATGTGACAGCTCACTCCTCCTTTCCATCCTGGATTTCCCATGTCCATTCAACCATCTCCTGATCCTCTCTGCCTTCTCATCTGGCCCCTGGACAGGAGC